GAATTATAAGTCTCGTATCTTTGATGCGTTTTATAGTCAAAGACAGAAGCAAACTAAGAACAAACAATAAAACAGAACATAATATAATCACTAAGTATACTGTTTGTTAAATGATATTTGTTTGTGTTAAGTATGTCTGTACTTGTGTAAGTTTTCGGAAAAAAGAAAGTTATTAATCTGATAGAGAATCGTCTATTAGTCGTTAAGATTATTTCTTGTCGTAAAACAATTGGTTTAGGGTACAAAAATGGTTTTACGAATAATATTCAGATCCAACACGAATCAACAATTATAACAAAAATAGTCGTATGACCACTCATTATGTTTGTAAAATAATATGTCAGCATCTGTTTGTGGAAAGTATGTCTATCGCCTTGTTTATTTTCGGAGACAGAGAGTTAGTTTGATAATGAAGCGTCTTTGAGTCGTAAAGATTATTCTGTGTCGTGACAATAATTGGTACAAAAATTAGTTTTGATAACAAAAATTTGATGCAACATTTTAAGTTACACAACCAAATAACGAACATATAAAGCCTAGTGGTGGAAGGTTTTTTCAGTTCGATGTTAAAACAGGAAAATATGAGTTTACGCTTGTTTGTACATTCGTCTTAAATTTTGTTAAGGGGGAGGGGGGCGCTATTTTCTATGATATAAATTTTTCAGGAAGGCAACTTTAGTCTTAAGTCGACGATTGACAGACAACACTGTAGTCAAAAGAAATAGGAAAACAGACCAATGTATAATAGTCTTCTAAACATTAAACTATAAATAATAAGTATGACAGGTAAACATTCGGTGATAAAAATACGGATAACAAACCTATGTTCATTGAATATCTCATAAGTCGAACTAGTACAATATAAAGGTATCGATTGATGTGTTTCTGGAATTATCTTCAAAGGTACGCTACAAATAAATAAAGGAAGATGTGGTGTATACGTCAATGAGAGAGTAACCCTAGGCAACCCTAGGACACTAGAAAACCAAAAAACATCCAGGGGTCAACACATGGTCTTCGACATTCAACAGGTGCTCGCATACAAAATAGCAAACAAAAATATAGCTATCTCAATACATACTTCTTAAAAGTCATTCTAATGCAAGTTGAAATAAAATCTAATATACAAGATCTCCTCATCAAACTTTCTACAGACAGCTAAAAACCGAATAAACCAAATAACCAACGACTGCTTTAAATTTTCTTTCTTTTGTTAAGCCATTAAATACTGGAGCAAACTATCCCCAAACAGTACCAAAAAGCCTCTTTCTGCACTTTCAAAGATGCACTCACTCATTATGTGCTACTTGACACTTACCCACACCTGCAATAAATAAATAACCTGTTTTTATATAAATAATGAAAGTTAAAAAAAAAATCACAAGAATGTCGATATATGTATTTGACAAAATAGCATACCAAACAGAAATTATTTCATTTTTGTTTTGTCTTCTTAATCAATCATTTGAAAACTTCTACCTGGCATGCTCCAGAAAATGAATATCATCTTGTTGACGCGTAGGGCGTAAATATAATCGGAACGAAGTGATAACTTTCAAAGGATCTTAACTGTATTATATAGCCTGATTCAAATGGACAAAGTGGTAAAAGAAGATGAAAACAAGATATCCAAATGAATTTAAATGAAACCTATCTGACGTCGTTATGGCTTTGTTGTACTCCACATTAACAAAATACGAAGATACTTTGAAGAGGGTCTTCTACAAAATGCAATTATCATTCATTTTAAGATGAATATTAACCTTGAACTTGTTTTGTAGTTTCAAGAGAGATGCAAGTTGAAGACTGAACAATCAGTATATGCAACAGAAAAACAGCAAATATTTTAAATAGTTTTTGTTTAGTGCTAAATTAGTATTCGGATAAAGCGTAGTTAATAAATGAGATTTTAAATTTTCATAGACTTTCTTTAAATCAAAATTCAATTTGAAGACAAAATAATAACGAATAGTCTAGTATGCCGCCATCATTTACATTTATCACAAAATAAATACGCGATATTTCATCCAGGAAATAAAGGTTACAATATAACAATACATTACACAGTCGATAAGCGCTGGAAAATGACATTGGAATCAGATATGAAGGGGTTGAAGATTAGGTTACATTTACAGTATATAACCGACTCTGCGTCTAAATTGAATTTTTCAAAATATCCTAGTGAACAGATAAATCATAAATGAAAATGTCCAAATACTACTAATCAGATAGATGGATTGCTGAAATATCTACATGAATAATGGCTACTGAAATACGCCTCAACGATTGTCGAGTTTTATTTTATGACAAGTGCATCTCAAAACTAGATGTATTTTCTGAAATCTGATTTACATTATGAAACAATCAACGTTTGCAACATTCAATTCAGCGTCTCTAGACTAAAAAAACAGTTTTCACTTTCTATCAATTTCCTATATCAAAATTTACGCAGTTAATAGCAAAGAAATTTAACAAGTGTAACAGTGATAGGTATTGCGTTACCAAAGACTAAGACCCATTGAAGTAAGTTATTTATTAATCACTCAAGCAATTTTAAGACAGTTTATACCATCTGTTTAAATGAATTTGGTATTATGTTGAGTTAAATCTGCATTGTTGAATAGTGACTTTTTTTTTTGTCAGTAACTATTTTCCATGTCTTTTCCGTTTCTTTTTTTCGGATTCGGGTTTTCTTCTGATTGATGTCCTTATCGTTTACCAAATCCTAAAAGATGACGGATGACTGCTTAACGTCCAGCGGCAAATTAATATGCATATTCAGGACGAGAACATGTTAATGCAATATGAATATTTACCCTCCTTTGTACTAGACCGACACGCTGAGAGTCCGCAGGAAGACATGTCGCCTTACCCGGACACGTTATTCTGACTCCGAGTCGATCAGTCTTTGCTCTTACTCCTTAATGCCGCGTGCTTAGCGGAGAAGTAGCAAATACCAATTTTAAAGTCTGTGATTTGACCCGGCCAGGGTTCGAACCCACGACCTCCCGCACTCGAGGCGAACATGCTACCACGAGACCACCAAGGCGGTTAGACCTAAAAGAATAATATATACATTCACTCTCATTTGGAGCATCAGTTGCTGAGATAAAATTCATAAAACAGACATAAGTGCTCTAGAAGGATACGCAGATCCTGCTCCACATGTGAACCCGTCGTGTAAGTCCCATAAATACGTTGGTGGGTAAACATATCAAGTGATGAGGCAGCACGCAATAGCGTTCCGAAGCATAAATCGAAAAGGGCATGCACCGAAGACCCAACTACGTCTACGGTAAACTTTGCCGTTTTAACATAAAAACCATATTTAGAAACTAAAAATATACAATCACAATGTAACATTCACATAATGCCAGAACTAAAGCACTGATTACTAGTAAGATTAAATGAGATGATAAGGCCGCTTTTTGTGGCCCCTTGAAAGATATTAATCTGTCAAACATAAGTATTCATATTTTTTTAATTTTCTCTTTCATATTTGCATTAATGCCTGACGTAAGGTATTAACGAATGATAATTCTCGCTTTTCATTAATTAACTTGTAATACCAACAGTTACAAAATGCAAGTAGTTTGTCGCTGTGAAATAATGTATAGGGGAGTTTCCCTTGTTTGTTTCTAATATGTTATTGACATCTTGGAACAGGGCTTGTTGATATCCTGTTTTCCATAGTAATATCCCTTGTTTATTTCTAATATGTTAATGGCATATTGGAACAGGGCTTGTTGATATCCTGTTTTCCATAGTAATATCCCTTGTTTATTTCTAATATGTTAATGGCATATTGGAACAGGGCTTGTTGATATCCTGTTTTCCATAGCAATATATTGTCTATAAATGAAGCATGTATATCAATTTCAATTTTCAGTACTTAATTTCTTCACTGCATCCATTAAATAAATGAATGTGATGTATTGTTTGAATGATGAATTTGATCTTACGTACAAAGTACAATGATAACTAGTTTATCACTTTTTGCTACAGGGTAGTGGTTAAACGTCATGATTACTTTGTTTGTCGTTACCATTATATTTTGAGCCGAAGAACAAAAAAAATTCTCGAGACAATAAAATTAACATGATAATTTGATTTATATGTTGTTGTTGACGTTATACAATGTTTTGTATATCTGTTCACGTTTCTTTGAGAGTGAGTGTTGATGATGGCATAAACAAAACTGATAAATTAAATAAATCACTTAATATAGTCAATAACATCTAGCCTTATGTGCATGCCCTTTATTGTTTTTGCCATGATGTTGTCAGTTTGTCGACGTCTTATGAGTTTGAATATCCCCTTGGTATCTTCAGCCTCTCTTTCTTTCTAAATTGGGAATTTAATGATATAATTTGAGATTCCCATTTATACGTTACAAAATATAACAATTCTGTTGGTAGTGATAAATTTTTCATAATACAGTTATGAAAAACGAAGTGAAGATGCTGCTATTTTGTATACTTTATATTTCTTCGCAAAATATATATGTTCCACTAATTTCGAACCTAATTAATACGTAAGTAGTATAATCTGGCGTCAACAATCGATGAATCATAACGTAGGTGGCATCAAAATACTAAAATTGGACATGTTTCAAACTTCCATACCTTTTAGCTAAGCACTTACAAAAGTATTTCAAGAGTGTCAGTTAAGAGTTGGTCTGCTTTAAATTCTTCGTCATGTTTTCTAATATCCTCTTTCACTTTCTATTTTGTTTTTAAGTTTACTGACACTGTAATGGGCTATAATTACATGCGCTTCTGACGAAAGTATGATTAATGTCCAGAAAACATTGTATCAATAACAGGAAAATTATATCTGAGTTTGACACGTGTGCCGACCAATCATTTTAGAAAAGCTATTAATTAACTATGTTATGATGTCATTATACTTGAAAATAAATTCGTTTGATATAATTGTTCTGTACATCATTAATGCGTTTTATTTGGAAATATGAAAATATAATTAAACCACTTGTCAATTTTTGAAGTAATCTGTGTTAGTTGCTGTAGATTCATTACGCTTCTCTTTGTTGAACAGGAATGAACGTTGTGGAGATTGCTGTCTACAGTCGTTCAAGTTTGGACTAATTCAAACGCTGTTGCCAAAAATTAAGATGTTTTAAGAAGTGATGTTATTTTTAAATGAACATCTAGAATGATGATTTTCTAGGTGATCAAATAAATAAATCAATTTGTAAAACATATTTTCTTTGCCAGTATTCAGTGACAGTAATATATATCGACTTGAGTGCATGTTGTTCATTTTGTCAATGTTTTCTTCAGCATTCGATTCACATTTCCATTCAGAATTCATTGTTATTTTTCAGCACGTACAAAGCTTATGAAGCAAAATGGACATATCAACAACATATCAGTATAATATCACCAGTTATTCAACATTGACACCTCAAGTAGAAATGTTTAACACAACAGAACCAAGTAACAAATCTACTAACGTTTGTGAAAATGTTCATGATAAGAAATATGATGAAACTATACGACGTGCATCCTTATATGTAATGATTATCATTGGAACACTAGGAGGAATTTTTGTGTTGTTGTGGATGTGGAACAACCGACGTCTGAACAGACGGATGAATAGTCTGTCTCGGGTGAATAGTTTCATACTGAACTTGACAGTAGCCGACTTGATGGTTGTTCTGTTAGCAATATTACCACAGTTAATCTGGGAATATCAGGATCAGAGAGAGTGGCATGCCGGTGCCTTTATGTGTAAATTTATCAAGTTTCTACAAAGTTTTACGATGATGGCTAGCACCAACGTTGTAGTTGTAATAGCTATTGATCGTCATCTAGCTATCAGGGCTCCACTCAAAAAAATCTCCGTAAGTATGTTACATCATGTCAAAATCAGTTATACCTTTAATAGTTGTTTTTATTAAACCAAAAGCTATTAAACCACATAAATATAGACTAATAAAACACAGTATAATGACATGGAAAACAAATTTGCGCTCTTAAAAATGCTCGAGTGAGTGCATGCATTACCGACAATTGACACATACTTAGATCCGTCTTAATTTGTAGTTATTGTTGCATATTATGCGATTGCTATGAAAAGATTACTGATAGTATGAATCTTGTATCTTATTTATCTCATATGTAAGAGAAATATCTTATAAAACAAACACAAAAATAACAAATGCATGCTTTATTTATATTACTACTCGATATTTTTGTCCACTATCAAGTTAGAAGATAGACTGGAAACGAGTGTCGTATACAGCTACGTACGCAGACTCACGTCTTGTTTATATACGACGCTTCAGCTGCGCTCGTATCAAAGAGTTGAAAACCACAAAATAAAAAAAAATGCTCCAGATATGGATAAATAGATATAAGAAGATGTGGTATGAGTGACAATGAGACAACTCTCCATCCAAGTCACAATTTGTAAAAGTAAACCATTATAGGTCAAAGTACGGCCTTCAACACGGAGCCTTGGCTCACACCGAACAGCAAGCTATAAAGGGCCCCAAAAATGACTAGTGTAAAACCATTCAAACAGGAAGTATCTTTGTTTTGGGGTTCAATAACCGTTACGTTTCAAATAATTTCAAAATCTTATGAACAGTAAATTTACAATGTAAAACCTAATTTGTACAAGAGAGGCGAAAGTTACCAAAGGGACATTCAAAATCATATGTAGAAAATAAACTGACAATGCCATGGCTAAAAAAAGAAAAAGACCAACAGAAAAACAGACAAACAACAGTACACAAAACACAACATAGAAAATTAAAGACTGAGCAACACGAACCCCACCAAAAACTGGGGGTGATCTAATCATGAACAACATGACGGTGCCACTCATGGAGCCGGATATGTTAACTCTTCTGCAGCACCTGGTTTTACCTCAAGAGTTTTCTCTGTGATGTTTTGTGTATTCGTTTGTCATTTCGTCATCTTTCGGTTTTTGCCATGATGTTGTTATTTTCCCTTTGACTTGTGACTTTTGAATGTCCCTTGGAATCTTCCGATTATTTTTTTTACCGAAAATGAACGCATCAATGAAATTCATGTCAGAGCAGTGCCGACGTCAAAACCTCTCCCAGCGGTGGTATCAACCCAGCGATAATAAAAATCATGAAAATTACAATTTAGTACGCAAGACGCTCGTTTTGCGAAAATGGCGATCAATTTAGAATATTTGGAAGGTCAAATCTATAACGAAGTTAAAGAACATTGGAAAGCAAAATTTTCAAAAGGTTATGACCCATCTTTGCCTAGGGCTAGAAACCCCTTTTAGTCTTTCGAATAATTCAACAGTTTATAAATACTAGTAGTAAATTCACAAATATGATCGTATCAATGATATTTGATGTGAACACCAGAGTGCTGAATAATGGGCTAGTGATAAGTCAGTTAATGAACTAAATTTTTATTCGTTCATGTTTATTCTTGTTTTTTCTTTACGTCATTTACTTCATTTTCATGCCAACTTAGTGCTGACGACAAAACGTCTCCCAGAGGTAGTGAAGGTCAGCAAAGATTACAATTTAGTACGCCAGACGCGCATTTCGTCTATATAAGTCTTAAAATGGCGATTAAATCAAAACAGTTGGACGGTCAAATCATTTACAAAGTTAATAACATTAATAGCAAACATTTCACAATGGTATGTCAAAGCTGACTAAGGCCATTAATGTCTGGGCGTAGAAACTTCTTAAGTAAGTGTTTGGAATAATACACAATTTTACAAACGTGGTGATCATATTTCATGTTAGCACAGAAATGGGCTAGACTAGTGATAAATCAGTTCATAAATTAAATTGTTAATCGTGTTTTGTGAGTTTTTAGGTTGACGTCATTTTCTTCAAATTTGGTTGTTAAAAATAATCACTTCACAGGGAAAATATGATATTTTTTAAATCCTCTTGATTGATTGTCAGATTTTCATTTTAATACCATAACGTTTATTTGGAAAAATGGCATCCCTAAACCAAAACATTCTTAAGCCTTTGCGAAACCAACTGGATGGTCTAAGCTTAAATTTTGCGAATCAAATATTTTTCTCGATAAGGAACAAGAAAAAACAATTGTGTACATTTTAGATGTGATATGTGTGCATTTGTATCTACAACATTTTGAGTTCACATCCTGTCCTCTGTAGGCCTTTGAGTTCACATCCTGTCCTCTGTAGGCCTTGGTTGGCGTTTTCTAATTTATTCTCTATACACACTTTATAATGACCAAGACATTTTGTGTCACGCTTTTGAGTTAATTTCTGTCGTTTATATTTTATTGTTGACTGTGCATTAATTCTGTAGTTATATGTCCTTTAATCTTTGGTGACTGTATTTGTATTACCTACACTCTCTATTTTTGAAATTACAAAATTGCTTTGTAACTTTGTGACATGGGGAGTCAGTTGATATCCTAGTGATCTAATTTGATTTTCAATTATAAATGCGATGGGCAGAGAATTTGTTTCCTTCATTACTCGTAATCTACTTTGTCACAGTCCCCAGTATTTAAATTTGTACTCTACTTTCAGACTATTAAAATTATATCCACGGGTCTTTTTCTACCTATTATTCTAATTATCAAGGAGGTTAATATAACCTCTTTAGAATTATTCAACTTTTCAATTACTGTCAGCAGGAATACATTTAAACTCTTATTTTTTTATGGAGAATAAACGCGACATGTTTTAGCTCTAAATAAGAAAATAAGAGCTCTGAAATATTTTTAGCTGTGTTTGTTCCACTGTTGTATAATCTTAAAACACTAATGAGTATAATTTCAGTAGTACGAAATGATATCTGCTTAAAAGTCTAGACTAAACTTTTTTTTCATTTTCACAAGATATATCCCCCTTAAATCAACATCCTTAATAATTTTCAATATATGATTCTTATAGAATTAAAAATAAAAAAGGGAAACCTTTGATATTTTTTATATAAAATATAATATCTTTCTGGCATATGTGGTCAACCAGGATAATTTTATTTTCATGTCAAGGTAGGGGAGTATATTAAGACTGAGACAATGTCCACCTGCAAAACATCGTCATTTTGTTAGCTCGGCTAACGAGTATAAATGATAACAAAGCATGTTTTACCAGATTAAATTCATTCGTGTGTTAGAATCCAGATGACAAATTCACTAAGAGTAGATTGAACTATCAGATGTTTGAGACCGGATTTAAGCAATAAAAACTACATTAAATGTGTCAATTCTTCAGAAAATGTCAGCGCAGAAAACTCGTTACAACATGTGTTTTTACTATGTCGCTATCCTGAGATACAAGATCTAGCCACAGAGGTGAATTTTCGTTGTCGTTATCCTGAGATACAAGATCGATCCACAGAGGTGAATGTTCGTTGTCGCTATCCTGAGATACAAGATCGAGCCACAGAGGTGAATGTTCGTTGTCGCTATCCTGAGATACAAGATCGAGCCACAGAGGGGAATGTTCGTTGTCGCTATCCTGAGATACAAGATCAAGCCACAGAGGTGAATTTTCGTTGTCGCTATCCTGAGATACAAGATCGAGTCACAGAGATGAATTTTCCTTGTCGCTATCCTGAGATACAAGATCGAGCCACAGAGGTGAATTTTCGTTGTCGCTATCCTGAGATACAAGATCGAAACACAGAGGTAAATTTTCGTTGTCGCTATCCTGAGATACAAGATCGAGCCACAGAGGTGAATTTTCGTTGTCGCTATCCTGAGATACAAGATCGAGCCACAGAAGTGAATTTTCGTTGTCGCTATCCTGAGATACAAGATCGAGCCACAGAGGTGAATTTTCGTTGTCGCTATCCTGAGATACAAGATCGAGCCACAGAGGTGAATTTTCGTTGTCGCTATCCTGGGATACAAGATCGAACCACAGAGGTGAATGTTCGTTGTCGCTATCCTGAGATACAAGATCGAGCCACAGAGGTGAATGTTCGTTGTCGCTATCCTGAGATACAAGATCGAGCCACAGAGGGGAATTTTCGTTTTGGTCAAAAGAAAAACGACGAAAGGACAAACATCAGTCCATAAAATAAAACTCAGAAAACTAAAGATTTATCAACAAAAACCCCAGCAAAATCTGGGATCAGCTCAAGTGCTCCAAAAGATTCAGCAGTTTCTGCTCTACATTTGACACCCGTCTTATTACTCTTATTAAAATCCGTTGATGAAAAATAGATGGTGGAAAGGAATCACACTATAGCAGATTGATAAAAGTCTTTTCTCTGACCTAGGGACATTACCAAATTCATAAACAATTGGTAAATGTAAATTATCTAATGAAAATAAATAATGTATATTGAAAGTTTGAATTGAAACACAGTTTTTCTAGACAAAGAATCGACAATCAACATAATCGCAAACCTTTGACAATCAACATAATCGCCAAACTTTGAATTATTAAATGAGATATATCTATATATAACTATATAAATATAAGCTTTGATATCATGACATAATTTGACTGTATAGGACGAATGACGAATAAGAGAGATTCTTTAGATATTCGGCAAAATAAGAACATTTTAGGAACATTTTTGCAAAATTAACATAGATCAAATGCGTTGCTAAAAATTTGTTTGGCAGACAATAAAAAAAAGCAACAAGTACTATCTTTCAACAAAATTATTCGATACATTTAGACAAGAGTATTTGTTGAAATGAATCAATTGTATGACCTTTTGATTTTATTGAATTGTTCAATATAAAAATCAATTTATATTAAGTTTGACGGTTAAAATCTTACATTTCTGAAAATTGAAATAAATTAAAATATGATTCAGGTACAGTGTTTGTGTGTCATTGTGGGTCATTGACATTAGAACCCCTTTTTTAATTCATTTATGCTATATACCATACCATTGCGAAAAGTGTTATGGCTTTCTGTATTGAACAACTATTTTCAATAAGATCAACTGAAAGTTGCCAATTACCAGCAGATCGAGCGTATTACTTTTGCATTATGGAGATGACAATTACTTGTAAAATAGTGACCCTCATGATATGTTATCGTATATTTTATGTATACTTCTTGCGACCATCTTTTCACTAACTGTTTAGCTGACAACTGTATAGTGAAATTTGCTACTACTATTCTGATCACATACTGAAGTTTGTGTTAGATGAATATCTTAATTTACTTTTGCTCTTGTTAACTCTCGAATCCACATGGTATAAGATGATTGCATCGTTACGTGATGTTTATTTGATCTTACTTCATCAAGGTTCATCTTTTTTGTTTAGATACTTCATTATATTTTACAACAGAAAGATTTCAATTGATTCCCCAAGTCATGGTAATTTAGAATGGGTCATCACATATGTCTATACCATTTGTATGAGGGTGTGGATGGGAGTATACAGAATAGAGAACAATGGGCAAAAAATATAAATAGAGAAAAATGGACCAAAAAAATAAAGAATAGAGAAAAACTGGACCAAAAAAATAAAGATTAGAGAATAATAAGGTGCTAAATATAAAGAATAGAGAATAATGATGTGCTAAAATATAAAGAATAGAGAATAATGATGTGCTAAAATATAAAGAATAGAGAATAATGATGTGCTAAAATATAAAGAATAGAGAATTATGATGTGCTAAAATATAAAGAATAGAGAATAATGGCCTAAAAAATTAAAGAATACAGAAAAATGGCCTAAAAAATTAAAGAATACAGAAATGAAGGACCCCCTATCCAGACCCTCTTGTATAACTTACAATGTAATGGATTATATACCATGTTGAAGTCACTTGATAACGAGCAATTAGAAAATTGACCAAATTTGAGTCCAAGTTCATTTTCTGAATAAGTGATCCATTACCTTTATGTTTCCTACAATTAACGAACTCGAAATCTATCGATGTAATTTGAGCATAAAATACATTAGGACACATTCGAGGTAAGGTGACATGGGTTCCAATTACGTGACACGAACCTATGGCTAGAATGCTATCATCACGTAATAAACATAATGAAACTGGTCTGTCAATGCAATGAATGTCTTCCCATCCTGATTACAGATTTCGATGGTTTAATTCAACTATATAATAAGTCTGTATTTAGAAGATGTATTACCACTAAAAGTTCAATATGGTAATTAATTAAAAACTTTTAAGTCAGGAAATTGTTGGTAGATGATGAGCTTGTTTCGTGTTTATTTCTTGAAAAAATCTGTCAGAACATCGGAAAAGAAAACAGTTTTCCAATAAATGATTTAAATCAAACAATTTCAAACTCAAAAATAACCGATGTGATGTGTCTGATTAGGACAAGTTATGTAATTCTTCCATTTACATTACAAGTAGGAATTTTCTATTGTTATACATTTTCAAGACTCTTTGTAAAGTCAAACATATAAGCTATCGGAATTAATCGTTGATTACGAGATGAAAGCAATACGTACATATGTGTAAGATCGCAATAAACCCAACCAAATTACCAGACTCTGTAAAAATAGATTCTTCAATTATAGAATCAAAGTGACAGGTTTTGAAGAAAGGTAATGAACGTTTTCTACGTCCATCTTATAAATTAAAAATATTTCTTTCCAATGACTTTCTTATTGAATTAACGTCTGACCCAGACAACTAGCTTTTGAGAAAAAGCGGTGGTTAAGATTTGATGTAACATATAAGAGACGACGTAAAAGTATTGCTTGTATTGTCTAAGATCTCAATGATGAAATAGTTTTGAATAGCCTCTTAACCCTGTGGGAAATCGTGATTCATAAAAAAACAGTTATCCTTAAACCGCAATGTACTCTTCAAACAAGTTTACAAAATGAAGATTACTTTCGTCGATTTTGTGCGTTAACACGCAGTGTTTATGTCTGTCTCCAGGAAAACGATAGCCAATAATCATTGCACTGGATACAGACTAGTGACCATTTTAACTTTCTAATAAATATTATATGATTCCATTTCTTTTCAGGTTTGGAAAATGTCTGGTTGTGCATGGACAGTAGCAGTTGTAGCTTCGTTACCAATGTTTTATGTGTTTCGATTAGTGGAGCACGGTGATCGAAGTCAATGTGAAAATATATTTCGGACAACGCCAAAGTCACATAGACAGGCCTTTCTCACTTATATTGGTATCATAGTTTTCGTAATTCCTTTTGTTATTTTAATATTTTGCTATACAAGAATATTTTTAAAAATTGCTCGAAAAGCAAGAGAAGGTAGAAAATCTAGACAAGCAATAAAACCCGGCAAAATTCATTTACAAAGCACACAGTCAAGCTCACTGCCAAAGGCAAAAGTTAAAACTCTGAAAATGACATTCGTTATAGTAGCAGTATATGCTGTCTGTGGGTTACCGTACTTTATAGCAGAGATGATTATGTCCTACGGAGATCACTGTGTCATATCACCTCTTGTTTATGGACTTTTGGGATCTTTAGCAGTTGCTAACTCGACTGCTAACCCATACGTCTTCTTACTTTTCAACACTAATTGTAAAATGAGTGATTTGAGGAGAGGTCCTTCGGATGGAATTGGGACACAGAAGACTTGCGTGTATTCAACAACTAGCACGAGATCTTTTCACGACTCAAAAACAGCATCTGTCAACTATAAATGGTCCTCCATTAAAGATAATCACGTTGAACTGTCAAACATTCGATGAAATGTACATAATTTACACGCTAGTTATTGTGTTGTAATGATCGTTAGTAAAGGTGTTATGAAATGTATGTACTTCTGTGAAATATAATTTTAATAAATCTATTTTGTGTTGAAATTTCATTTATTCTCATCAATCAAACATGGGGTGATACTATTTAATTGAACCGTTAGTCATATTAAACTTTAATCGATGAGGAGGAATATTTGAAATACACTGGATGTACGTCCAAAATTGAAACTTCATCATCAAGATCGTCAATTTTCTATGATGTATTTTTCATCAGTTTATAGTGTACGTATTGCTGTAATAAGTCACGTGGATAATTTCTTTACAACAAATGGAACATCTGACAGTCAGTTATAAATAATTGATTGGTTGATTTTATTTGGTTAAGATCCAGTGGCAAATACTTAATGCATATTCATGACTAGAACAAATTACATTCGAAGAGTTCAAACGTTAGAGTCTACACAGCGATGCATTCTTCCTATTCTTGGAAATTGGAAGGTCGTTCAGTCTTCTCTTCACAAAGAATTATTTTAAATTGCATATGGTGTGATAAAAGTATATTTGGTTTAGATAAAACAGAATATATAAAAGGATGTATGGGATAAACTTCTATAAGTCAGCAAACAAACAAAATTAACACAAAAATACAACATTTTAGTCTTAGATACCTGATTTGTTTTATTATTTGTTATTGCTCTGAACTAGCATCAGTAACTGAAGTATTGTCAGATATGTACTTCGTGTCTTTTTTGTTGTTATGGGTGTATAAATACCCTGCCATGTCCGGTCTGTGTTTTGATAGATGTTTTTTCTGCTTGGTATCCATCTGATGAGTTAAGCCTTTTTCAACTAATTTTTATAGTTTGTTCTTATGTTGTGAGCTGTAACAGTGTACACCACTGTCCCAGGTTAGGGGAGGGTTGAGCGCTCACAAACATGTTTAACCCCGTCACATTCTTTATGTGCTTGTCCCAAGTCAGGAGCCTGTAGTTCGGTAGTTGTCGTTGGTTCATGTCTGTCATATTTGTTTTTCGTAAATTGCTTTGTTATAAATTAGGCCGTTAGTTTTCTCAATTGAATTGTTTTATATTTTTCAAATTTGGGCCTTTTATAGCCGACTATACGGTATGGGTTTTTCTCATTGATAAAGGCCGTACGGTTGCCTATAATTGCTTACATCCACTTCATTTGAACTTTAGTGGATAGTTGTCTCATTGGCAATCATACCACATCTCCTCATTTTTATATTAGCTATATGTCTCCATACGATATCAAATGATATAGTGTCATCTGAAGCAAAGAAACTAAAGCTTGATAGAATTACTATTAATACCGTCTCATAGAAGAGCATCGGAAGTTCCTTTAATTTTTTTTTCTTGCAAGCGGTTTTACACATCGAATCAATATTATGCATGTCTAGATGTCTTTTTGTTGTTACCCTTTCTTTGGGTTACTTTCAATACTAAGTATGCATAAATTAACAGTTAATGGGTATTGACCACAACCTCAAAGATAGGTATGAATTCAACATTATCTAGGCTTAAAACAGAACAATGGACACATAACTTTACACAGAGGTGGACTGAAATAGGCAGAAACAAACACAGTCTTACATACAATTGAAAGAAAATAACACTATATTTTATTCTATTGTGGGTCTATAGCACTTTTCTGCATTTCCTTTCATCAGGAACGCTCAATCATAATAATTTGTTAGCCAAAGATGTATAAATACTTGTATATTTAAGGAGCTATATGGCCAATAGAAGGGACCTAAAAGAATAGCTAAATTCACCTACGATCAACTTTGCCTGAGAGAGATGCAAATTGATCAAAGTAGAATTGAAATCAGTATTGAAGCACTATTTTGTATCGGTATTGATTCTGTGCTAGAAAACAAAAAATAACACTTTGTAAATTTCTCAAATGCAAATGCTTCATATAAAGAAGTGACTGTCTATCATCAACGATTGTTTTGTTGCTTTATATAAAGAAGTGACTGTCTATCATCAACGATTGTTTTGTTGCTTCATATAAAGAAGTGACTGTCTATCATCAACGATTGTTTTGTTGCTTCATATAAAGAAGTGACTGTCTATCATCAACGATTGTTTTGTTGCTTCATATAAAGAAGTGACTGTCTATCATCAACGATTGTTTTGTTGCTTCATATAAAGAAGTGACTGTCTATCATCAACGATTGTTTTGTTGCTTCATATAAAGAAGTGACTGTCTATCATCAACTATTGTTTTGTTGCTTCATATAAAGAAGTGACTGTCTATCATCAACGATTGTTTTGTTGCTTCATATAAAGAAGTGACTGTCTATCATCGACGATTGTTTTGTTGCTTCATATAAAGAAGTGACTGTCTATCATCGACGATTGTTTTGTTGCTTCATATAAAGAAGTGACTGTCTATCATCAACGATTGTTTTGTTGCTTCATATAAAGAAGTGACTGTCTATCATCAACGATTGTTTTGTTGCTTCATATAAAGAAGTGACATCTATCATCAACGATTGTTTTGTTGTTACAAAAAGAAAAGTAAAATAACATAAATACCGAACTCCAAGGGAAATTCAAAACGGAAAGTCCTTTATAAAATGGCAAAATCAAAATCTCAAACACACCAAACGAATGGAAAACAACTGTCTTATTTCTGACTTGGTACAGGCTACCCTTTTAACACAGAAATACCAAAGCTAAAAAACTAATGCCAACAAATACATTTCATATATATACAGAAAATTAAGAAACTATTGCACCTTAAATATTGCATGTATATAATGATGTACAAATACTTGGATACGTAAGGAACTATATGACCAATAGCGATATAAAAGAACAGCCAAATTCATCGAAAGTCAACTTTTCCTCAGGTAGTTAGAACCTATGTTTCTTAATAATTTATAAATTTGTAAACGGAGAAATTAAGAACGGTATGTCATAAATCATGTTAGTACCAGAGCAATGACTACTGAGATAATGACAGTCCTCGTGGACCAGTAAGTACCAGAGCAATGACTACTGAGCTAATGACAGTCCTCGTGGACCAGTTAGTACCAGAGCAATGACTACTGAGATAATGACAGTCCTCGTGGACCAGTTAGTACCAGAGCAATGACTACTGAGATAATGACAGTCCTCATGGACCAGTTAGTACCAGAGCAATGACTACTGAGCTAATGACAGTCCTCGTGGACCAGTTAGTACCAGAGCAATGACTACTGAGATAATGACAGTCCTCGTGGACCAGTTAGTACCAGAGCAATGACTACTGAGATAATGACAGTCCTCATGGACCAGTTAGTACCAGAGCAATGACTACTGAGCTAATGACAGTCCTCGTGGACCAGTTAGTACCAGAGCAATGACTACTGAGATAATGACAGTCCTCGTGGACCAGTTAGTACCAGAGCAATGACTACTGAGATAATGACAGTCCTCGTGGACCAGTTAGTACCAGAGCAATGACTACTGAGCTAATGACAGTCCTCGTGGACCAGTTAGTACCAGAGCAATGACTACTGAGCTAATGACAGTCCTCGTGGACCAGTTAGTACCAGAGCAATGACGACTGAGCTAATGACAGTCCTCGTGGACCAGCAGCTCTATCGTCCTACTGCGAATTGGAAATAGTGCGTCAGGAGCGCTTTTTCTGGATATCTATACGGTATGTGGTTTTGCTCATTGTTGAAGAACGTACGGTGACCTATTGTTGTTTGCATCATCGTCTTTTGGTCTCTGGTGGACATGAGTTGAATGTAAATATCATTCATGGCAATCGTACCACACACATATCCTTATTTGTTTATAAGATGACGACATTTCCTTACAACAAGTTTTGTGACAAATAAAAATCTTAAAGTGTTGGTAGGACACAGTTGAAATTTTGTACTTTGGTTGAGTAAAGCAAGAAAATGTGCAAAACGTTTAAACCAGCTGCATTTTATACACCTGTCCTAATTCAGGAGCATGTTGTTCAGTGGTTGTCGTTTGTTGGTGTGGTTCATAAGTGTTTCTCGTTTCTCGTTTTTTTTTATAGATTAGACCTTTGGTTTTCCTGTTTGCAATGTTTTACACTAGTCTTTTGGGGGCCCTTTATAGCTTGCTGTTCTTTGTGAGCCAAGGCTCCGTGTTGAAGGCCGTACTTTGACCTATAATTGTTTACTTTTTACACATTGTGACTCATACCACATCTTCTTATTTACTAGTATATATATTTGTATTATTGTTATGTGAAAATTTGAGGAGAAAAAGTTATGTGAATTTTTTTTTTTTTTTGTGGACGCAAAACCTCCAAAAGTATGAGTAGGACAGATACTTAATTTAGAACAGTCGTTGTGCTGCATATGAAGATGTGCATACATTTTGAGAAACATCTTTCTGAATTTCATCGAAAATTGATAAATTGATAAAAATATGATTTTCCAAATTTGATTATTGTGTGCTAATCTTAAAATGGCCGCCGATATTCTTAAAATTAAATTGCTCGGATTTTAACGAAACTTCACATCAAAGTAGAACATGGTGGCAATGCCCTGAACTTATTTCTGATGTCAAAATGTTATAAAGTCGATAGCTATTTCAAAATGGCCGCCAATATACGTTAACATTCAAAGTGTTCGAATTTCGACAAAGTTTCAGTGATATATAGGAATTTTAGTATCAAAAATTATCTATCGGCTCCCATTTTCAAATATCTTTTGGACGCCATTTCTAAATGGCATGCTTTTTAAATTTATATTTGTTCTCAGTAAAAATATGAATTTCATAAGTCACAACATTTAATGATTTGCTTTAACAAGAAATCCTGGAAAATTGATACCCAAGGAAAAGTATTGTTTAAATAAGTATTCAATTTGATTATTTTAAAAATATACAAGGAGCCTTGCTTAAAAATAAAAATTAGGATCTGGAGTATGATTGCCAAACTATCAACAAGAGCAAAAATGACTGGATGTAAGAAACTATAAGTCATCGTACAACCTCCAAAAATGAGCAAAATCCATACCGAAATAGTCAGCTATGAAAGGCCCGGATGTGACAAAATGTGAAACAAAACAACGCGTTGGGCCCTTACAGACATGCCAGTTTTTCTTT